ACCCCTCGTTGTCCAACAGTTATCCGAGACTGTTAATTAGATGGATCAAGTCCAGAGTGTGTGGCGACACGTGTGTGGTTTTTGTGACTGAGGTTCACAGAGTGTGCTGAGAGGCACCTTGGATTCATGGCATGAAAACCTGTGTCCTTTTTTTTTTCAAGGTTATTCAACACTGCGTCCTGGTTGTTTTTAGGGGAAAAAAATCATCCTAAAAGCAGAGAAAGGATGCTGGATGTTTGTGTAGCTGCTGGTCTGATTGGCTGGCATTAAACGGCCAAAGGTAATACTGCCATCTAGTGTCCATAAGGTGCTAAACAGCTGGTAATCAGAGCATCATGATATGGAAAAGGGCTGCATTTAGAAACCTGTAATTCTGTGACAAACGGCTGAAAATACTCTCTTCCCAAACTGAAAACATCTCTCCTTGTTATGCATCCTTGATGGAAAAGGAAACAGAGAATGTGTCATGATTTTAAAGTTAATTATGTACTTTAACTCGCTGCCGTATCCGCTGAAACAACAGTATTTGTGTCTTGGACCTTTCCATTTGCACGTCTAAATATACGTTCCTGTCTTTTGATTTGTAATTAGAGCTTGGCTGCTGTTCTCCTTTCAGATGGCTCTTAATTCTGGGATTTGTTGCTCACAAAAGCCCCGTGCATATCTCTTCCCCTCTGCGGATTTTGCGAGCAGTAGGCGTCTCTTATTCAGCTCGAGAGGTTGCTGAAAATAAATCATCACCCTCCCACCAGTGTGTGAGAATGTCCAGATGGTTGAATTTTCACTGACGTTCTCCCGCTGAATTTCCCCATTGTATTCCACGCTAAAATTAGAAGGTAATACTTGGTGAAAACGCTGCGTTTGCTCTGAGGGTGCTAGTTAATTATCAGGAACGGGATTTATGTTCCACCCACGAATGAACCACCAATGCTGCATTGTGTGAGAGAGTATAGAACGATGAACCTTGAAAAGCCGCTTGAGGTTCGGTGGAGGGACCGAACGGCAGGTTTCACTGGCAAACATCTTCGCCGCGTGTTTGTTCATTTAGCAAGAACAAAAGAAGAAAGTGCCCTCGAGGTACTTTCGCTAATAAAAGAAAGGGATTACGTAATTGCTGCAATTATCTAGACACAAAGGAAGCTGGGATGCAGTGGTGGAAGTAGAACAACTAGACTGTTAAAATACTCTGTTGCAAGTAAGACCTGTACCTGCATATCTCACCTGTAACTATATGTAAATTTGTGTTTACTCGTTGATTTCAGAGGAGAGAGAAGTACTCAGATCTTGTACTTGAGTAGAAGTACTCAGATCTTGTAGTAAAAGTAGAAGGACTCAGATCTTGTACTTGAGTAGAAGTAGAAGTACTCAGATCTTGTAGTAAAAGTAGAAGTACTCAGATCTTGTACTTGAGTAGAAGTAGAAGTACTCAGATCTTGTAGTAAAAGTAGAAGTACTCAGATCTTGTACTTGAGTAAAAGTAGAAGTACTCAGATCTGGTACTTGAGTAAAAGTAGAAGTACTCAGATCTTGTACTTGAGTAGAAGTAGAAGGACTCAGATCTGGTACTTAGTAAAAGTAGAAGTACTCAGATCTTGTACTTGATTAAAAGTAGAAGTACTCAGATCTTGTACTTGATTAAAAGTAGAAGTACTCAGATCTTGTACTTGAGTAGAAGTAGAAGTACTCAGATCTGGTACTTAGTAAAAGTAGAAGTACTCAGATCTTGTACTTGAGTAAAAGTAGAAGTACTCAGAAATTGTTCTTGAGTAAAAGTAGAAGTAGTCAGATCTTGTACTTGAGTAAAAGTAAAAGTACCAGAGTGTAGGAATACTCTGTTACAGTAAAAGTCCTGCATTCAAAATGTTCCTCAAGTGAAAGTAGAAAAGTATTCTCATCAAAATATAGTGAAAGTAGCGACAGTAAAAGTAGTGATTGTGCAGATTGGTCCATTTCAGAATAATATATATGATATGTTTTATAATGATTGATCATGAAAGTGTTCTCAAAGCTGGTAAAGGTGCAGCTAGTTTGAATGACTTTGTATACTGCAGGGTAGCTTGTGGATTTACTCCAGGTGGAACTAAAGTCTGATTTAACACTTGATTAGATTTCACATCATTCATCCACATCTGTGAAGAAACTAAAGGTCAAAGTACACTATTAACCTCTTAATTGTAGTGGGGTAGAAGTACAAGTACCTCAAAATTGTAGAGTACTTAGTTACTTCACACCACTGGTTAATATATATTGTGTATTACCTAACATTCAGACTCTGAGAAGATGTCAAATAAATATATTAGAGTAGATATATAAAGTAGCATAAAATGAAAATACTAAAGTAAAGTAACCTCGAAGTTTTCTTACACACATTTCTAGACACATTATACGACTGCTTAGATGTAAAAACCCAAACTAAATTAAGTATTCTGCTCATGCCAAAGCCCAATGTATGCCTCATTACTTCCATTAGCGTTAGGGACACAGCAGCACCGCCTCCATTCACACTCTATTAGAGCTCCAATATGGCTGTTTTAAACATGGCCTGCACTGAAAGCTGGACATTTAATGTAATCATCATTGTTCAGTTAGTATCCTAAACAATTACTCGACTATATGTAAGCATAGAGGCGGCAGGGATTGACCATTGTGTGTTCAGTTTTGAGGAGAATTTTCTGTGGCGGCGTTTGACAAGTGATTGTTTTATCTTAAAACGCAGCGAGGGCTTACATTCAACAGGGAATACATCCAATGTTATGAGGCTGGGATTAAACCATCTGCATGATTTGGCACTTCTTTTCATTTCTGCATGCTACATGAGCTTTCCAGGCCAAAATTAAGGGCTTAAGGTTTTCATTTTTTGCACTGAGGAATGCGTTTTTTTAAGGGGAAACTCGAGTGGAGTACTTCATGAGATCTGACAGGCATGCAAATAGATAGCTTTTTGAGGGAATAACATATAAATAAAACCCCCCAGGGATGAGGGATATCTTCTTGTAGATATTATATGAAGGATCATACTGTACCAGGGACTTGTTTGGCATGTTTATGTCGGTTAATTGTCTCATCGCTGTGTTAAAAGCAGAATAATATTATGTAAGAAATGTCAGTTTGCTTGGACAAAAAACTAACAAACTCAAGTTCCCATGTCATGGCCATTTCTACTGATCATATTTCCATTGTTGAGGTCTACTAGAATACATTTAAATTGTGCAATGTTCCAAACTCACATTGGTTCCTCATACAGCATCTCTGTATAGTATGTGTATTCACTCTCTGTCCTACACGGCTTGTTGGAGCTCCTGCCCCCCCCCCTCCCTGTGAGCCCAGTGTGCTCTGATTGGTCGGGACGTTGCGAGGCTCGTTGCTGCTGCGAGGAGCGGACAGGTTTCCGGGTCGGCGATACAGCGAGAACAAGCGAAACTCATCCTGAGCACACAAACACTCACAGCCGAAGTAAAAACAATAAGTGTGGCTTGATATTGAGTAAGAAAAAGGTTTATAACGCTGTGAGAATGGGTCTGCGGAGAGCATTTCTCCACCATCCCAACTCGTCTATTACCAACCAGGGAGCTCTATGCAAGTCAATGGGGACTCCCTGTTAGTTAGCATCCTGGTGTGTGAGGGGCTCCAAGGATTGGTCCATTTGGGCCAATCCGGTCATTTGTTGTTGATCTGGGTGTTCACACGTCACAGAACCCAGGAAGCAAACAATGGAAAATGAGAAATGTCCAACGAGGCGTTCTGGGGCAGCATAGACAGGTCTTTTCTGTGTTAGAGTTTTACTCGCTACAGGGTGTACTTTGAGGGTTTGTGACTCTGCAGACCGTTTACATGCAGAAGCTTCATAACACACAAGGGGACGGGTGATAACCAGAAAAGCATGACATGGGACCTTTAAGTAGCTTTTTGGCGCTTTACACGACTCCCTCTGCACATGGTATGCATTGGAAAAAGCTCAGTTGTCATCTCAGGTTTTATTTATTTTTTAACATTATCCATAGTGATCTTACAGACGAAGACAACAGGTTGTAGTTTAAAGCCCTGGGAAAATCTAGTATGTAGACATCGAGTGTTTTCTTAAAGTCTGAAAACAGGTCAGCAACAATGTTGACGCTTTTAATAAGAATACAAATACAATTAGGTAATTGGTTCCAGCTTCTCAAATGTAGATGTTTTTATTTATCTCAGTCTTGTAGCATGGTATACTGAATATCTAAGGTTTTTTAAGACATTTTACAGCTTTATTTGGGATAAATAAAGTATATTTTATCTTAATCCATGAATTTAGTATAATCTGTGGGTCATTAGATAATTCAATTAACCGTCATTTGCAGCCCTATAACTTTAAACCGAGAAGAAATATATAAAAGCAATAAAAAACAAATCCTCCCATTGTCTACAGGCGGCGTGTGGCGCAGTGGGTTGTGCGTGTAGTAGGGCTGTGCGATTATGGCAAAAATCCTAATCACGATTATTTTGGTCAATAATTGATATCACGATTATTAAAAACGATTATTCATTTACTTTGAAAACATCCATTTATTGAAACAAAAATGTGAACAGTATGTTTTTAAGAGTTGATTACCCTGAACTTTAAGTATAATTCAACTGAAAAACAAAAAAAATAAATAAAAAAAAAAAATAATAATTACATTTTTTTTTTTTTTAATAAAAATAATAATCGTTTTATTTCGATTACGTTGTTTTCGTAATCGTTGCAAGCCAAAATCGTAATCGAGATTAAAATACGATTAATTGCACAGCCCTAGCGTGTAGGTGTTCGGATCAGGGGGTTCAAACCCCACTGCAGTCAGCATGTCGTTGTGTCCCTGAGACACTTCGCTCCGTGGGGGGGGGGGTTGTCCACAGTATTGAGTATGTAAGTCGCTTTGGATAAAAGTGTCTAACAAGTATCATGTGATGTCTACAAAGTGTTTTGGTGTTTGCATCATCACATTAAATGTGTGCCCTCCCCAAACAAACCCAATCAACAAAATGAATCCATGTTTTTGACACAGAAGTCACTTTTACACCTTTATTTGGGCTCCCAATACACAAATCGAGGATATGTTCATCAATACAGAGTCTGCTGCTTTAGATCCCATGATACACTGAATGAGGAAGGTCTGGACTGATGCGATAACTACAGTCCTATTTACACATTCTTATTTTAGAGATTTTCTGGTAGTTAATAACATTTATCATACTGTATAGCGTAGGGCTGCTCAATTAATCGTATTTTAATCGCAATTACGTAAACTAAATAAAACTATTTTTTCTTTTTCAGTTGAATTTTACTTAAAGTTCAGGGTAATCAACTGTTAAAAAAGAAATTCTCCAATAAATTGATGTTTTCAAAGTAAATGGATAATCGTGATATCAATAATTGACCCAAATAATCGCGATTATGATTTTTGCCATAATCAAGCAGCCCTAGTATAGCGATTGACAAGGTACAATCACATGGCCCTTTTTGTAATTTTTAGCCTATATATCTTAAATGCACTTTCACAGCAGATGTAACGTAAACTTCATTAAGTTCAGGTGCGGCCTTAGGAGTCCCGATAAACAGCAAATAGACATGTTAGTTTTTCGTTTTTTTTTTGTTGAGCTATTGATGCACTCTTTGAAAAGTAAGCAGACCATGTTTTCCCTAAAGACAGACACACGAGGTGCTGCCGTCGTCGTCGTCAGCAAACGGACGAGGTGATACATCTCCACAGATACAGGTAACAAACCCAAACAGAGGAAGATTCGTTCTTATATCAAAAAAGTTCAAGACCTGAGATTTTCAGTGGAACAAAATGTCTTCAACGTACGGGGGAAAAAAACAAAGAAAAAGGACCGTTTGTAAACTGTCACGGTGGCTGCGAACACTAGCTTCCCTTTTGTGACTTAAAAACATGCACGATAAAAATCATAATGTCAAAGAATGTTTAAAATCTCATTATTTCAGCCGTAATTCTTTAAAACTTTTTTTTTTGTTGCAAGCTAGTAGTACACAGCTCTATGCATATGATTTTTTTTCTGACAGAGAATCATCAGTGTGTAGACACGACTGAGGGCGATGCAGATAACTTAAGACAAATAAATTCTTTCTATTAAACATGGTAATACCTTATTCTAGACAACACTGCGGACTCTCCGAGGGTTACAAGTTCATTCCTTGGGCACTTAGTAAAGAGTCCAGCATGTCGAAAAGTGTCTTTGTAGTCGGTGTGTTGGCCGTTTGTGGTCAGCATGCCGTTGGTGCCGTCGTGGCCGTGATGCTCCATCATCCTCTGGCCTCCTTCTGACGAGAAATGGGCCGAACCTGCTTTGGAGCTCCGGCTCTTGGACGAATGGTGGTGGTGGTTTCCTGCTTCAGAGTGAGGTCTTTTTCGGGAAGAGGAGGAGGCCCCGTCAGGAGCTCTTATCGATAACGAGGCGCTGTCTATTGTCCCCCGGGCGTTCCCACTGAGGGCGTAAGGATGCGAGTGGCCGTGTTTCGAGTGGCGGTGATGCTCTTTGTGCTTGTCTTTACCGCCTGGCTCCGAGCCGCCGTGACGCTCCGACGAAACTTTGATTCTCATCTTGAGCTCTTCACCCGTTGCCGAGCCGTTTTCCGCTAAAGAGTGAGGCAGCCGAGCCTTTTTCGAGCTGCTCTTCTCTCTCCTGCCGTCGCCCGACTGCCCCGCCTGCTGGGAGCGTTTCTTGTGGTGGTGCGAGGAGGTTTGGGGAGGTATGTACATGTCTGTGTTCGACTCGTCCTTTACGCCGTTCTGCGAGGTCACGTCCGTCGCCGCGTGTTTCTCTCGGTACTTTTCCAGAGTCAACACTTTCTGCGGCCGTGAAAAAGTGGCAGCGTTTGCATTGAGCGGCTGCTGTTTGCTGCTGGAGCCGCCGGCAGCTTTGTGTTCGTGTTTCACCAGCGTGAAGTCCGGCTCGGGGAAGTTGTCGTATCCGCAGCTCTTTGACTCGTCGCTCAGCGGCTGGTAGGAAGCGTAGGAGGCTGCGATGTTGTTGAGGGACGGCATATCTGAAGAGTCTGAGGAAGTAGAGGGGAAGAAGGAGTTGCTGACTCCGGGAAGGCCATCTAAGGACGTCCCCTGGTACACACTGTCCACAGAAGAGCCATCCGACTTTGGCTTCTTAGCTGCTTGAATAGCCTGTTAAAAAAACAAAGAATTCAACATGAGATATTGAAGGTAAATCCTCCAAACCGTCAAATGGCATTAAGTTAAGTATTAATGACGCACCCTCCAGTTTCGTATCCTCTTCAGTTTGCTGGGCGTCTTTTCAAGGATCTGAAGAAACTCGTGTGTGAGCTCTGAAAAAGAAAAAATAAGACGAACATGTCAGTGATCTCTCCTTGATGCAACAAATGATAACACACCTTTGGGGCCTCATTCGTAGTGTGTATATTAAAATGCTACACAGCTTCTTAGTCTTTTTGGTATTTCTACTGATTCAGTTTGAAGTATCCGGTACTTCTGCACAGCTAAATAAGCCTGCACTGACACGATTATATTACAATAATACACGCAGCTCTTACCGTCCAGCAGCTGTAGCGTGACGCTGCGATCCACGTACTCCCACCAGTGTTTGCTGTCTGTGGACACGGGGATCTCCCAGTTGGACCACTTGCAGGCCAGGTGGATGCAGACGCAGGCGACCACAGTGGGTCTGTACTGCAGGCAGAAGGTGGTGAGGTGCAAACTGCAGAGGAGACAAAGACACAAGAGAGAGACATACGACCGTCAGCTGCAGGTATTTCACACACTTCATACACTCAAATAGAAGTTTAAAGCATACTGGCCATCTTATGTTCACGTCTCATACACACACCCTTACCTTATAGTACTGGAATGTAAGATATTTTATTTTTGCTAAAATATGTTCCTAAATGTAAGTATAAGACATCATATTTTGAAACTGTGTATAAATTGTGTTTTAAAAACAGTGTTTCTCAATCTCTTAATGAGCAACTATTACATGAAATCTCTAATTACATCAATGGGACTTCACAACAACACACACCAAGACTGAGAAACACTGACGTTGGAAGCCAAAGACATTTAAGTTTTCTACGGTTAATTTTCTCTGCACCCTGAATCCCAAACTAGACTGCAAACCGGCTCGTATGTACTGAAGCAAAACCAGTGACAAAGGAAGTTATTTCTTGTTCTTATTACCAACAAGACTGCATCCTCCTAAGCAAAAGTGCACTCTTAGCAGAAATGACATGTAATTATAGCATGTAAAATAGTGTTATAACTCAAAAGTTAAGAATTATGTTCAATGGTTTTCTATTATTGCATAGCTTATATCTCAACTTGCATGACTTGTTATAAAGAATAACTAGATACATGTCAATAGTTTGCACGTCGTAGATCTCGTTTACTTTGAAGCAATTTGGCTTTGTATAATTGGGCATAATTCCATTGTCGTTAATAATACACAATATAATGTCCCCCAATTATCAACCCCGATAACTATCATGCATCCCTTACTTTAATACTGTCATTATCAACAATTTGGGGTTATTACAATCACTGCCACACTTCACTATGTGTGCATGAACTCAGATTAAAGCATTCTTTCTACCCTCATCTGTGGGGGGAAACGCAGTGCAGTAAACCCCTCGTTAGTCACCAAAATATCCAAATATTTCTGCCTCTTCAAAAGACAACAACCCTACGTTACACATGCACTGCACACCTATGTTAGATCTGGTCATACAAACCGCACAGTTTGCAGTATAGTTTGGTGTTAGCTCTTTTAGGGTAGGGTAAAAAAATGTGCACAAAAAATTAATAAAGAACTGTAAAACTATACTTACCAAAGCACTCAATAAGTTTAAGAATCTTTAGTGGCAATCTATATTCAGGCTACCATTTGAGAGTTCTCTTTTAGACATATGCACTCCGTACCAAACAACCTTGAGAGGTAGACAGCACCACTACACTCCACATTGTGCATTCAACCCCTATGTGCCAACACGGAGCCCTTGTACAATACACCGCACACAGCAGCCCGGACAGGTACTTCCCCACATTGGGGTTTCCCGAAATCCAGGCGCAAAAAGGGCGTTGGACACAGGAAGGGGGGCCCTGCAGGACAGGAAGCTATAGTGTGCCATTACAGTGCAATAATGGGAACAGGATAATAACCTGTTGGTAGCCATGAAATAGGAAGTCTGTGCCAAATCCTTGCTTGCTGTAAGACAAGAAGAAAGTGTGTTTTTAGACAATGAGACGATACTTTGAGATAGCATTTTTAAATTAGCATTCATTTAACCGAGCTCAGAAAAAGTGGCACTAAGTCACTGTACATGTTGAGGTATTTTAAACAGGGATAAATATGAGAAGTTTTACCTCGCACTAGCTGGGAACACCTCACAACATCAGTGTGTGGATGATCAACTGTTATTTCAAAACCTGCAATAAATAAAATATGTTTAATGAGGAGGATCAGCCACTGGTGTAAGCAACACGTCAGCAGAAATGTGGTGTAGATTTGCTTAAAAAAAAGCAACTAAAAGAATATTTCATGTTGAATATAAGCTAGCACTCACCCAGGGTTTGCAGCACTATTGTTTCCAGTGCTACAAGCTCTTGTGTCTGTTGCTGGAATGCCTAAAAAAAGACCAATCAATGCACAATTTTAAATCTGTTTACCACCACATTTATACTGATGATTCAACCTGATATCAGCATTCCTATACAAATGAAAGCACTGCAGGCGGTAACACTGTAAAGCACATGTGTCAAACTCAAGGCCCGGGGGCCAAATCAGGCCCTTGGTGGATTTAATTTCGGCCCTCAGGATCATTTCTAATTACTATTAGATCTGGCCCGCCGGTATATTGCACCTTCACTCAATCCTGAGGGTCTCCTCAGCTCAGAGCCTGACCCCAAACATTGATGAACTTGCACCCGAGATGAGATGCCAAGTATCTGGCTTGAACTAGCATCACAGAGCAGCACACTGAGTTTACATGGATGTTTCCTTCTGCACTTTCTCTCTCACGACAACAGGGCATGTTTGGTTTTTCTTTGAGGGAAATAGTTTTTTTGAAGCTGTTGTTGGCCTGTGGAAAAATGTAATCATAAGAAATGAAGCTGCAGATAGAGCCATAAGAAATGAATGCAACTGATTATTTAATATTGTTTTTTTAGGCAATCATTTAAGCTTTGTTAGTTCCAGGTTTAATATGTGCAATAAGTTCATTTCAATACGTTCTGCAATAAACATTGAACCAGTCCGGCCCTCGACTAGCACCCATTTTTTTATTTTGGCCCACTGTGTATTTGAGTTTGACACCCCTGCTGTAAAGGCTCGAGGAAGGGTGCTTAAAGAGGGATATTTAATACTGATTATTATATAAAACAAAGAAACGCAGCAACGTGAAGCTTTAAAATGACATAATCTATACAGATAATTATGTTGTTACTGCTCTACTGAAGCTTCACAAAAACACTTTACGAGTTACTAACAATTGCATGAATGTTTACTCCATGGTTTACTTACGTTGCTCTTAGGGTCTAGGGCAGGCTCTTGAGGGTTAATGTAGGCATGGGCTATTTTAATGACATGCTCCAGCTTTCTGGGCTGTTCCTCAACTTTAGCTGCCAGGAACAGCGTAGTCTGAGAGATAACCTAAACAGAAGAAGAAAAAAAACCCTCAGTCAGTTTTCATAGGCGGCACCAGCTGTAATTATAGCATCAGCAAACACTGCAGTCGTACTTACATTTCTATGGAATTTGCTGAAGGAGTGAATCATATAAAATCTGTGCATATATACTATAGCAGTGTTGATAATCAATTGGGAGCTGGGTGTGCAGTTAAGGAATGACACATGGATGATATACAGTAAGTGGTAATTGATTGTAAAAGCATAGAAAAACGTGCATCCTGCAAAACCACATAATCAAATAAGGGATACCAGTATTAGTAATCATGCAATATCACTTATGTGCAATATATATCACTTTATAATTATTATGTGTACTGCCTGTTAGTTAAGACTATTCAACTTCTGTAACTCAATCTGTAATAACGGTGCAATATATGCTATTATGTTCACTATCAGACTACTTCTACATGCTAATTTTAATTTTAAATACTGTTACCTACTGGTGTCCACCTGGATTGCTAGTTTTGTAAATTGTGTTAGGTCTATAACAGCTTTTTTCTATATAAATTGTTGTTTTCTTACTTACTTGAAATCCTCTTTACCTGTGTGTATGTATGCATCATATACACCAAAACAAATTCCTTGTATATGTAAAGCTACGTGGCATTAAAGCTGATTCTGATTACAGATATCATAAGACACAAAGCTAACAATGGACTGCAGTAAGAAGAGACACAACAATAGCTAAGCTAACTAGCAGGCAGGCCTTCACGTTTCCTGCAGGCTGAATATAAACACATTGCAATCCGATGTAAACAACTCTTTAGAAATCTGTAAGTAAAAGATTTTCCGTCTGTTTTGATTGTCTAAAAAACGACTTTTAACACGTGTTGCGGTTTGGGTGTTTCTTGAAGCTAATGCTAACAGGAGCTAACACCAGTGGGCCGGTTAGCCTGGAGGTTTTTTTTTTGTTGGAAGGATACACGTTGAGTCTCTGGCCGATATCTTGGATTAAATTGGCCGCTTGTTGCCGGTAAGAGAGCTCCCGGTCGCCCTCGATTCCGGTGCGTCGGGACGGCGTGTTGTCCAGCTGCTCCCGGGAGAAGATCCATTTGGTGGAGGGTCCCCGGTGCACCGCCATTACGCTCCCGCAGCCAAGACGGTGCTAGCATCGGGAGGGAGTGAGGGGGCACCGGAAGGACGAGATGGGTTTTACCGGTGGACTGCTTTCTGCACAGCGCACCCAGGATGCTGGTGGTGCAAAGAGCATCGAGTGTTTGTATTCAAGAACAACAGAAATCAGAACCAAAAACCTTAAAACAGCAGTAAAGTGCACAGTGATGTTTAGTATTTAATGCATCTGACATTATGTCCACTAACAGCAGTATAAGGCAGTACAGATATTACAAACAGCAGTGTAGAACATTAAAACCAGGTGAGATCTGGTGTATAATGCAGAATAAAAATTGTGGACAGTTTTAGTCATTTTCACTATAGCAATATGGGCTGAAATATCTAGTTTAGCCACTAGAGTTCACTAGTGTACTTCCCCTTAGAAATAAGAGTTTATTCTAATCATATTGCATTCTTATCTTATTATTAACAGTGCATGTTTATTGTTGGCACAACGTCTCTATAATTGCAGATTGCTTGTTGACATATATTGCAAATATTTGAACAATATAATTAAGACTATCCAGCCCAAAGTTGTGCTTTTTATGCATTACAGTATGTTGTTAGATAAGGCTTCCTAATCAATTGAAGTCTAAAAACGTCTTTATTATCCTAATTTAAATCATCATATTTGACCTATGCAAGCATGTACAATGTGTTGCCACATGGTGGAGCATCTTCTGCTCTGCATTGCTCTCTTTCTGCCACTAAAGGGAAGCAGAGAACACAAATCAAGTACGTTTAAAAACCCTCTGCACCAAGTGATCTAACAAAACAAGGAACCTGTTAGGTTTACATAGGCAAACTGTATAAGCAGTCTAAATTAACTACATGCAACCAATAGTCTGTCATTAAATAAATAGATCTAAGTAAATGCATGGGGGGAAAGTCATTTTTACGCAGAGAAAACAAACTTCTGCTTATAAATTAGTCATTCATCTTAGAAACCCTTTATGATGAACACATTAATGCATCCACATCAATGCAGGACTGTTGTGTGATGATGATGAAAACTCCTCTTCACCCTCTGGGGTCAACAGGTAATTAGAGTCCAGGTGTTGGTATTTCACGACATCTCGAATTTACCCAGAAGGGACGCTTTGGAATTGTTGTGAATATTTTTCTATGGCGTTTCCAAACAGAGAGCATCAGGTTTGTCAGCACAACGCCTTCAAGATAAACAGATAGACAAGGACCGTAATAAAACAAGGCATAATTGAATGTAAACACATCGTATTAGCTATAAACCTGTCTTAACCTGTGTATTTCAGCCCACCAATACAAATAATGGCTATTGAATAAAATGACTTACAAGTTAAAGTTATGCATTTAAAATGTGCAGTATCAGCCTAAATTAAATGGAGTACACTTACGCATGCACTGTTGTTGTAATGTAATGAAAAAGGAGGTGGATACTTTAGTAAAGTTCCCAATTTGCAGCCTACAACCGCGTTTTCGGTTAAATAAAAATAAAAGTCTGCACTTTTTGTCTCATAAATACGGTACTGACAATGCAAGCCTTTACATTATGTCCAAATCAAAAGAGCATGGACGCTTTAAATACATTGTGTTTCCTTCAGGTGCACAACACTGCTTTGTTTTGAAACAACCATCTGTTAATTTCCGGTTTTGCTTCACCTCACATTGTGCAGTTTAGCGCATCTGGACCTGGCGTCTCCCTCCCCTCTCTGTCTCTGGGTGTCTCCCCCGTTGAAAGCCTGCACTTCTCGCCCAGGTGAGACATTTTTGGCGTGCGTAATTGGAACCGCAACGTGCCCAGAAGATGACGGACTCCACACCGGCAGAATCCACCGCCGTTTCGGACCCGGTTGTTGTGGAGAACGGGCAGTGCGAGAAGGAGGAATCCCCGGAGCAGCAGCAGCCGCAGACAGACACTGAAAGTCGGGGAGAGGGTCTCAAGATGGACCAGGAGATGAAGATAACAGACAGCTTGGACGACGGAGGTAGGCGGTGGGATACATGTTAAAAAATACTCAAAATCTTACTCAAGTAAAAGTATTAGCATCAATATATTTGTATTTGTGGCAATTCTAGATAATATTGTTGCATCAATAGCTTTTTACTGTTGTAGACAAACACAGTTGGGATTGATTTTGTATTAATTAATTAAAATAATTTGATTCTTTTGTGACTTAAATAGTTAGTCCACTAGTTTAATTTGTAGAGGTGCATTTTGTTAACAGTAGGACATCGTTACTGGATTTTCTCTGGAAAAAGGAAAATAACTTCTGTTTTAATTGCACACAAATCATTTAGTAGTGTAATAAAATAATAAATAATGTGTAGGTATAAGTTACTTTCTAAAGAATAATTAAGGACTGATTTACCCCTTGCACCAACATCAATGTTTAGCTGGGGAATGTGATATGTCTTGACAACTTTTGAATGCATTGCCAGGAAGTCTGGTTCAGATATTTCCCTCAGGATGTTTATGATCCCGTAACTTAATGACAGTACCATCATCTCCTGCTGTACTTTGTGTTAAATGCAGATTAGCTAAATCATAGCATAGAATAGCGGTAGAAACTCTATAGTGATATATTTCATAAATATATGATGATGACTCACAATCCCTCTTACATATGATTTAAGTCAGTTTAATGCTTATCAGTTCGGTATTAGGGAAGAGGAAAATATGTATTATGTGATGACGTTGAATATTGCCATAATGATATAACCTGTGATAAACTAAAAGATATTAACGTTTACTAACTTTATACTGCTTTCTGCAAAAATACAACACTCTCTTTCATAATACTAAATAAATCCCTTTTTTCGCTATGTGTTCAGACGTCGTAATGATGGATAGAAATGATATTTTTTGCAGCCTCATTATGTTAATTCAATACTGTTCTAATTGTGGAAACAGAGCTTCAAAGCTGAGTTTAGATCCCTCTCTGAGTCATGTGTTGTTGTCTGCAGGTCTTCTGGAGAGCAGCATGCGTCTGAAGCCTCATGAAGCTCAGAGTTATCGTAAGAAAGCTCTCTGGGTGTCCTGGGTCTCCATCGTGATCACACTCATCCTGGCCGTCGTCTCTTTCAGTGAGTCACTCCCCCTCAGGTCAAACACTGACGCCTGCTGCTCGGTTCTTCAGCTGAAGGACAGGTTTATTATTTACCGTGGCATCTGAAAAGCTGATTAAACAACGGCACTTAAAACACGCTGCTTTGACGTCCTTCATACCAAGATACTGTTTTCATTTAAACTCCCACGGCTTCCACTTCAAATGACAACTTCTCTCAGTGAACAAAGCCACAGGAAGCGTTGGTGCTGTCAAGAGTGTGAACTTGACCTTGAGTTTTATTTCTGTCGGAGGAAGAAGAAGAAGTCTTAGCTCTGGTTTTTCTGCATAGATAAGATGAGTCATTCATTGAGAGGAGAAAGGGAAGAATTGTGACGTTTTTCAGACTTTTGCATCCCTTATTTTTCATATCTCTGCATGTCAAAGGCTTGAAGTGATAGACTTTGTAGATCAAACTCAGGTTACATGCTGTTTTTCTCTTTGTCAAATTAGATTTTTACCAATTATTGACACTTGACACACTTGAATCTTTGTCAGATATCTATACAAAATAAGTCAAATGTCTTGTTTATTCACATGACGATGCTTCTTCCTCTGCAGGGAATACTGAGCAGGGCTTTGACTGAATGAATTTGCTCAGAGTAGCTGCAGTGCAGAGATTCCTGTAAAGATAGCATGTTGTTCTTCATATGGACTAATATATAGACCGGGGTCGTTACTCAACACACACACAGTTGCTTCACTTCCATTCTGACAAACAGTTAGTGAGAAACACCAGTGGTTCAATAAATGAATCAGAGGCTTGTTTGAGAAGGAAATTAAGAATTGGAATTGGATTGGTTGACCTCGTGGGTTAGAGTTAGTGCAGCGAGTTGTTGGAGTGAAGTAATTTTGTTTTTAGAAATCAGCCCCTCTTCCTGAGTTCAGTACATGTTGTTTCAAACGTTTTGCCCACTTCCTGTTTCTGATAAAGTCTAGGCAGGTCTGTCTCAGCTTCCTTCTCTGTCATGTATGTTCAACTTAACCCCTTAAGACCCAAGGCTTTATGGTCATGCGTACATTAGCTACAGCATTTGGCAGGATCCTCCTACATGCAACACACTAGACATACAATAGTGGAAGAGACGTAATGGTGCAAGTAATTGACATGTTTCTATACCCAACAACCAGTCAATTAGATGCACTATGACCTTATCGTTGCTGTGCAGATTCTACTTCTTATTCTACCTGCAACTTCCTGTGTAATATTGTTGTGAAAATTAATATTTATTAGCAAACAAGCAATGACAAACCTCCTGTTTGGTAACATGCCAGCGAGTCCCATTGTAAATAAGAACATTTCAATGTGCACAGAGGGTGTGAGAGTCCTGTTGTTAACCAGCTGTTTGCGCACTGTGTGTTTCTATAAGGAGCCTTTGCATTAGGGGACATTGTAAACTGAGTAAACACAGTACGACATAATTCAAAGGAAGAAACTAATGGACTCAGGCGGTAGAAAGTACACAGAGAAGGCAAAGATTAAAACCATTACTCCGTCATTGGTGGCCTGAATAAAAACAAGATAATGGGTTTGGCTCTTAATGGCTATATATGTGTTAAAAATAATATGAAAAGTGCCTTTATGCTATCTAGAGCAGAGCAGTAGAAGAAAAATCGAAAGAAAAATAATCAGCATCTATTTTCATAATGGATTAATCGTTCATTTTTCTAGCAAAAAAGTCTTAATATATGATATTAAAGGGAGTAAAGTTGGGTTTTGATGTTGGGACCTTGTATTTTGAGAAACGGATGTGGACATTTTCCACAATTTCCTGACCAAACGATTAGTTTAGAATATAATTAACAGGTTAATCAACAATGAAAATAAGTGCTATTTGTAGCCCTAATGGCCTCATTAAACTATAAAAAAGGACAAGCCGGAAATGTTCCATCTATAAATCACTGATCACTTTCATTTTATTATTAAAGGACATGGAGCATTATTTGCCTTCTTGCTGAGAGTTAGATAAGAACATTGATACCACTCTCATGTCTCTACAGGTTAACAGATAACGTCAAAACAACAAGTTATGAAACATATCTTCATGATGAATGATCTTAAGCTGCTCCCTGTTTGATCTGCATGATGCCAGCATTACAGCTATTATCTTGTAGAACATTTGCATTACTCTAACATGGCAAAGACGCCTTCTTTAAGAGAGAGAGAGAGAGAGAGAGAGAGAGAGAGAGAGAGAGAGAGGAGAGAGAGAGAAGAGAGAGGAGAGAGGAGAGAGAGAGAGGAGAGCGAGAGAGAGAGATGCTATTAATAATATTATAGAGATAGAGTAGATAAGAAGAGAGTATAGCTCCCGAACGTCTCTCTCTATCTCTACATCTCTTCTATGCTGCTCGAGCTCTCTTCTCTCTCTCTCTCTCTCTCTCTCTCCGCTCTCGCTCTCGCTCTCTCTATCTACTCTAGCTCTCTTTCCGGCAGGGCCATTTGTCAGTTTTATCACATCGATGTTCCAGTTGGTAACATAGCATGTTGGCATTTCACATCTAATATAGAGGTGATACTGTTTGGCTTTGAAAGACCTGGTCTGGATAGGCGCACTTCACTGTTGCTTTGAGTTAGAGGATAGGATCAACACTGTTCTCTAAGCTTTAGCTGTTTGATGTCCTTTAATTCAGCCTGAACTGGACAGTCTATTTCAAACTGAAGCAGATTAGTTTTTAGACTTTGCCTTTACAGTATGTGACCCACAGTGTCACCTCCATCCAGCTCATGATCATTTGTCCGCAGAGTAGAACGTTGTTATGTATGTAATTCAGCCCCCTCGCTGCAGCTTACAAAACAAGGTGTTGTTACAGCGGCAGACTAACAGCATCCGTCCACCAAGTGTACAAAGAATATCGTTGACAGTGATTTGCATAATGCAGCTCCAGAAACAGCCAATCAACAGGCAGAGCTCAGATGGTGTTTTATCTTCTGTACTCCTGGGTTTCTTGTCAGATGAGACAAGGAGGGAAGAGGGGGGAGACGGAGGAGATCTCATATATATGTGTGTGTGTTAGTGTGCCTGTGTGTGTTTGTGTGTGTGTGTGATAGCCCGCTGCGATGCTCGAGCTCCGTCTCTGCTGACACCCACCAAGCTTTCTTGGGAGCCAATTAGCCGTCGCTGGGCTCCGCTTTGAAGCACCGCAGCAGATTCATTTACACACAGCTTCTTGTCTCTGTTCCTAATGAAGGAGCTAGGAGAAAGGGGAAGGAAAGAGGGGATGAGAGAGGAGCAGCATACATTTCTAGATTATCTTTAACCCCCAGCTCATGATGTGTACGTGCAGATCGGTGAGGTTTCCATCCAAAATAGGACCTCTAACAGCTGGAAAGTTTCATAACATTGCATGAAATAACTTCCAAAAGCAAAGCTATCAAGTCACTGTGTTGCTCTCTGATGATTATAGCAGATAGTTTTGTATTTCACTTTGAAATTGCATCTTGTTGTACCTTTCTGTAAGGTATATATGCATACATACATGCTCAGTTAATGATATGTCAAAGCCCTTCATGTGTGAACAGAAAAAGAGAGCCTCATCGCGTCACGTAGCATCCTTGTTATGTCAACTCGAGCCGATGCGTGAAATCAGGTTCCTCCCTTTCCATGAACAGCTATCAACTTGTATTTGCTTTCACACACGTCTGTTACCGCACTGAAAGAACATCTTGTATGTTAAAGCAGGGATTAACTGTGCCTCGATGTATATGTCAGACTTATTGCTTCCATGCTGCATCTCTGCAGATCTCTCATATTACAAAACAAAGCTCACAATCTCATCTGTATTCAAGGGTTGTTCATCCTGTGTGCTGGAGTGTTCTCCAAAGCATGAGCAGAGGCAGCATTCAGCTCTGTTTTCATTTTGGTCTGGGGAAGTGGATGATTGCACCTTGGCTGATTGTCGGTAAAACAATAAAGAAAGAAGAGGGAAAGGAGATATAGGGAGGCTTGAGAAGGAGGGGGAAGGAGCTAGGACGTGGATACAATTATGATTTAGCTATTGTTGCATCAGAAATAATATTAAGAAGTAAAAGGGAAGGGTTTGTGCATGCAGGCTGAGGCGAGTCTATGGCCCCTAGTGAGCGTCGCTAAAAATAAACCTGTGAGGAGAGGAGAGGATTCTTTTGCTCTTCCCCTTGCAGGTGCATGCTCAGTGTTTACTTTCAACACATCATATTATCACTTAGCCACAATTAAAACACTCAGTCAATAAAATGCATCCTCTTCGGCCTGTCTGGTTTGGCAGGTTTGCCATTATCCTGGTGTCAGTACTCCTGCAGAAAGACTTCTATCTTAATGTCTGCATGTGGGGATATATACCTGGGACCAGACTACAGTTTGTAACATAAAAAGATGACTGAAAATGCATGACTTTTTATAGGAAGAAGTGGTGATTAAAGGTGGGAAGATGTGTGTATGTCCCCCCTTTTAAATTCAGCTTTTTCTACTATTAATATTTTGATTGAACCCAAACTGACTACTTTTGTTTAACAGTGTGTCTTTATTTTCTTCCCAGCTGTGTCCATCATGCGCCACAGTGCTTCTGCTTTTGCATTTGCTGTAAGTCAACTTTAAAGTCTCCTCTTCACTTTAGTTACTCACACTTTATGTTGTAGGGTAAGATAAGATCATCTGAAACTGTTTTATTTGTGTTTTCTCTCTGCAGTTTGATGCCTCCCTGGATGTATTGTCCTCTGCTATAGTACTGTGGCGGTACCGCAACCCGTCAGCGGTCCACTCTGCACACCGCGAATACCTGTGAGTACAAAATAATACCTGTTACTAATTTGTGTATCCTTCATAGACTGTCCAGGTAACCCATTGGTTTGCTAACTACCATTTGTATGTCTAAAATGTTGCGTGTTGGCCGTCATCTCCTTGTTTTCTGGAACAAATATAGGGTCGAGCTAAGTACATATGACCCCTGACATTATCAGGCAGCCAAAAGTCTAAATTGGTTTCGTTTTTTCGGCACTGGACATAACTGATACCTACATAAACTGAGAATGCCAAAACATGTCTAAATAATTTGTATTTGAGGCATAAAACCGTGCTGTAATAAAGAGGTGATTACTTGATGGCTTACCTGCACCGGCACCTACATTAAAACTGACTAAATATGTAATTCATCTTGCAGAATGTCATACAAATATATTTTAAATACATGTCCAAGGAGTAAATATATTGTGTTGACGGCTGTCTTTCTGTATATTTTGAATTCTGCGTCTTAAAATCCAATTTAAAGACTACTTGCAGTTGTTTTAGGCTTGACCATATGGTTTCATTACCTAATGATATATATAGGTATATATCATCATAATCACCTGTGTGTGTGTGTGTGTGTGTGTGTGTGTGTGTGTGTGTGTGTGTGTGTGTGTGTGTGTGTGTGTGTGTGTGTGTGTGTGTGTGTGTGTGTGTGTGTGTGTGTGTGTGTGTGTGTGTGTGTGTGTGTGTGTGTGTGTGTGTGTGTGTGTGTGTGGGGTTAGCTGGCCGGCTCTGTTGTGATTGGTCAACCGCTTAGAGATGTCCCGCCCCTTAGCATGTAACGTACAATGTGTGTGTAACGTACAATGTGCGCTAGCCAATAGAAGCGCGAGTGTTACATAGTGATTTAATCTGGAGATGTTAGGTGTTTCCTTAGTTACTTCATGCGCGCGTGCGTGCGTGTTTTATGCTGTAGAGGGGTGTATTACTAATAATATTCAGGGTGCTGGCTGCAAGCAGGCGACCACAGAAAGATGAAGTAAAGCACTTCACTTTTATTTTGCAGTTTTTTTGCACTGAAATTACTTTGACAGCAATAACCAGTTGATCTTAAGAAAAAAATTAATTCAGCCAAAACAACAGCATCTGTTACTGAATGAATCACATGAAACTTACTGTCAGAGCATCTGGTAGATTCAAACAGTGAGTCACACACACACACACACACACACACACACACACACACACACACACACACACACACACACACACACACACACACACACACACACACACACACACACACAGACTGCTAATTAGCGAGGAGTCAGATGAAAAGCCATCTTCTAGAAAAAGGCCATAAAGACACAAATTCATCCGTAAATTTATTTTCTATCTGTCAATAGAGAGACAGTGCACTTTTCCCAATTAATAAATAGTTCGGAAGTTGTCTGAATAGTAAGCTTTGGCACATCTTAAAATAGGTAGTCTTGCTTTAAAGTTATTTTTAAACATAAATGTATATATACTTAAAGGTGGGGTAGGTAAGTTTGAGAAACCGGCTCGAGATCGCTCGAATTTGAAAATACACAACCGGAGAAAATCTGCCACTTCCTTACAGAGCGCCTCCTCCAACACACGAACACGCACATGACCAATGAGGGCACGAGATAAGTTTGTGCACAGATGGAAGGCTGACAGGCAGGTAGGCCATCCAGTTATTTTAGCCGGGCCGGCTCAGATGATTGGTCGTGCTTTTTACAGTACTACAGCTTCCACAGATGATGTTTTTTAATGGATTGTGAGTCCTGTATAAATTCATAATTGCTTAAAATCAACTCTCAATATTCAGTGTTTGCTTTTTCAGTTTTAAATGAACAGCTGAAAAAAATGGCTTTTGCAGTCACTCACTTCCAAAGTAAACAAAACGAAATAACAAAAACATGTAAATGAGTCTGTCTAATTGTATAGTCACGATCCAAAACACAAAGGAAAGGTTTAAATCATTGAAATACATAAAACCTGACGTCCTGACAGCTCTGTAAAAGTGTGAAAACTTTGCATTTAAACGTCCAGACACAACGTTGCTAATTGGAGAATTCAAGCAACGTTTAGGACGCTGCTCAGACAGTGATTGGCTTCACAAACACACACAAATATAAACACACAGTTATATCCAGGCTTTAATATTCTGAAACACACCTTCAAGCTATTAAAATGCCCACACACACACACACGCACACACACACACGCACACGCACACACACACAGCGTCATCTGTGTGTTTGTCCTGCAGCTAGTGTTGTCTGTGTTTGTTTGTTTGGGGGGGGATGTGGCTCAATAGGGATGCCCAGGTACAGAACGGTTGCCATGGTAACAAGCTCGAGGTTGTCAAAAGAAGAGGAATTGGGGACGAGTGAACCCAATGAAACCTTTCGAAACAAAAGCACCGTGATATAAAAGGTGGTATTTAAATATGAAGGGGCTCTATTCTGCTGATGTTAAGGTGTATATCAGTATTTAGTGTCTCTACTTTAAAGAGTCCTCTCCTGCTGATGTTAAGGTGTATATCAGTATTTAGTGTCTCTACTTTAAAGAGTCCTCTCCTGCTGATGTTCAGGTGTATATCAGTATGTAGTGTCTCTACTTTAAAGAGTCCTCTCCTGCTGATGTTCAGGTGTATATCAGTATGTAGTGTCTCTACTTTAAAGAGTCCTCTCCTGCTGATGTTCAGGTGTATATCAGTATGTAGTGTCTCTACTTTAAAGAGTCCTCTCCTGCTGATGTTAAGGTGTATATCAGTATTTAGTGTCTCTACTTTAAAGAGTCCTCTCCTGCTGATGTTAAGGTGTATATCAGTATTTAGTGTCTCTACTTTAAAGAGTCCTCTCCTGCTGATGTTCAGGTGTATATCAGTATGTAGTGTCTCTACTTTAAAGAGTCCTCTCCTGCTGATGTTCAGGTGTATATCAGTATGTAGTGTCTCTACTTTAAAGAGTCCTCTCCTGCTGATGTTCAGGTGTATATCAGTATGTAGTGTCTCTACTTTAAAGAGTCCTCTCCTGCTGATGTTCAGGTGTATATCAGTATGTAGTGTCTCTACTTTAAAGAGTCCTCTCCTGCTGATGTTCAGGTGTATATCAGTATGTAGTGTCTATACTTTAAAGAGTCCTCTCCTGCTGATGTTCAGGTGTATATCAGTATGTAGTGTCTCTACTTTAAAGAGTCCTCTCTTGCTGATGTTCAGGTGTATATCAGTATGCAGTGTCTCTACTTTAAAGAGTCCTCTCCTGCTGATGTTCAGGTGTATATCAGTATGTAGTGTCTCTGCTTTAAAGAGTCCTCTCCTGCTGATGTTCAGGTGTATTTCAGTATGTAGTGCGTGCGTGCGTGCGTGCGTGCGTGCGTGCGTGCGTGCGTCCGTCCGTCCTCGGGATCTGGTTAATTGGGCAAAGGTTTTTAAAAGGACATCTGCTGTGTCCCAGTGGTTCAGTCACAGTGTGTATCTTAAATTGACAGTGATGGAAACAGAAGGCACTGATATGCAGCACAGTTTACGTGGTATTCAGTTTATTATTACATGATATAACACTTCCATCAGACTCCATTGACAGAAATGGTAAATGTACCTCTTTTTCCTCCACAGAGCCTGCATTATCCTTGGAGTTGTTTTCATCCTGTCCTCCCTGTGCATTATTGGTAAAGCCATCCACGCATTGGCCACCAAGGTGCTACCTGAAGTGGTAAGAACTTATGGACTACTAACACACACCTGTGCTATACATTTACGTTGTATTTGGCTTCTATTATCCAGTTTTACGTCACAATTGTTATCCCACCATCTTCTAGATCTCCACCATTTCTATCTCTAGTTTTTAAACAGATGAAAACACACTTTCTTTGGATGTGAAATTGCTTTATTCACCTGCTACGTTTGCTTTGATGAGGAGGAGAATTACGCATTTAATTTGGCTCCAGATAAACGCTCCTGAAATATGAACAATTAGGGAATCCTATGAAGGGAAAAGCTCACTTCAATTGTGGTGAAAAAAACTACATTTCCCAGGATTCAACACTTCTTAGCAATACCTATACAAAGTCTGTCTTTCGTTATTGTTTTAATGGAGAGCCCCCTTTTGACAGAAATGTACATAGTGTGGGTTCAAACAATGCTAAAAAAGCCAGTATGACAATTCAAGATTGAGAAAATATTTAATTGTTTAAATTTTTACTCACGAAAACACTAGATAATGATTATAACATCGCATAGTAAACATCATAAATTAGGAAATATCTCTGACCGTGGTGCAGAGGTCGGATTTTAGTTCAAACTGGGGACGCCACAGAGTTTTGGATTATAGCACGCACCATATGGGACAGATTATATTATCCATTTAACCCCAAACACATTAACATAGTACTAGATGGCTTTATTACTCAAACAGGGTCACGACACAGCTTTGTCGTTCCAAGCTGCCGAATTGAAGCCAAACTTTTGGTGTATAATCAGATTTTTTGGTTTGATCTGTGGCTATTCTTACATATATTTTGGCCAGATAGTAACGACCACTCTGTCCAGCCTTCTGCTCTCCGTGCTGTCTGCCAGGGACGAGGATTTGTATCCAAATCCACCCCCCAAAAAAAGCCCTGTTGACTTAGTGCCTAATAATATCTTCTCCAAATCTGCGTGTACTCCTCAGCGTCCAAAGCAAACACCATGCAGCCAGTTATGTGATTTGCAGCTGATTTTGTCCCCGTCTTGCCTTTTGAACTGAAGTTCATCGAATAAGACGTGGTCACATGGTGCAGGTCTCTGAGGAAAAGCTGTGCTACTGAACAGATGGGAAGTTTTGGCTCTGAAAAATCTCCTGAAAGTTTTAATAATTTAGTTTTAATTTAGTGTTATGTGTCCCGGCAGAAGTGGTGCATTGAGGTACCTTTAATTGGGCCTCGTTATGCTCATTTCAGTATAGTTCATATTCAACTTCCTGGTGATATGTTGATATTTCATATATATGGCTTTTAAGATCTTGTTTTCTGCTATTATCGCCTTAGAAATTAAATTAAATTTCACAAAATGCTTAAAAAAGCGTATTTTTAAAGCCTGTAAAATGCAAATGTAGGCAAAACCAGACACCTGTTTTTCCTCTTATGTTTAAAACTACACCAGTGTGGATTGTATCATAGATGTAAAGTGGAAAGAGGCCGGGGAAGATCCTGAATATCCTCTCTGCGGTAATTCAGCTCAGCTAAGCACGATGTTCCCATGTTTACTCATCACCATCACGCTGAGAGACTCAACACTGAAACCACGTGATGATTATCGCCTGGCAACAGCGTAATAAAACTATTTCAGGAAGTCATCACACCTGAGATTTGTGACATTATTCACACACACACACACACACACACACACACACACACACACACACACACACACACACACAGAGCAGCAGAGCATAATAAATATGAAAATCTAAACAAAGGCAGACTGAGGCGCGGGAGGCAGACAGATTGTGTTTTTGTGAGTCGACCTGCTCCTCTTCTGTCTCACAGTCGGCTGCTAACACACTGCATCACACTCTGAGTTATATTTAGCGTTCCTCACTGCCCTCTTCAGTATGCAGATGCTGCTTTATTTCCTCCCTCTCTCTTCCTCCATGAATTGTTAATAAGGTGAGCAGCTGCCTAGGTATGCAGCAGTGAGAAAGAGGAGGGAGGAGAGAAAGAGGGGATGTTAAGTTATGGACTTTTCCTGTTGTCCTCGGAGCCCAATTAGTGTCCGTTAGCAGCCAATACAAGGCTTTTCATCAACCTTTTAACTCCCATTTAACATTACATGTCACTTGTTAGACGCTTTTATCTCAGGGACACAACGACATGCTGACTGCAGTGGGGTTTGAACCTGTGACCCCCTGATCCCAACACCAACGTACAACCCACTGCACCACACGCCTCCCGTAACATGTTCAATTAATTTAAAGGGCTGCAGGGGACCTCAGAACATTTCACAAACTCTGTGCTGCTCATGAAATCCAATCAAAAGCTGCCAGAAAACCTTAAACGTCTTCACACACACACACACACACACACACACACACACACACACACACACACACACACACACACATACACACACACACACACACACACACACACACTTCCCCGATGCAGGACGAAACACACACACACACACACACACACACACACACACACACACTCACACACACACACACACACACACACACATTTCCCCGATGCAGGACGAAACACACACACACACACACACACACACACACACACACACACACACACATTACCCCGATGCAGGACAATGTATGATCCTTTTAACTCAAGATGAGGCAGATATTAGTTTCTAAATCACGTGACGAAATGTGAATTAGGGCCAAAATGATATGTAAAGATTGTTTGGATCAATATTGAGATCACAATTATTCATCACAATTGATTTTAGGGACACAATACTTTTTTTATTGCACTTTCACATCTAAAAGACCAAAACAGCTTGTAGTTGTTTCCATGTTGTGCAATGTTTGTGCTAATTATAAACACATACTTTAATTTAGAGCATTTACATGTTGCCCATCTGCTCTTTATATATCACTTAGTGCTTACCCCTTAATTTTGCTAAATATATTGCACAACTACTGAGCTTCCAGACATGCAACATCTGCATCACTTCTCCACATCCAACCCTGATTCATTCATTACATATTCTGCTCAACGATCTCTGGAAGTCAAATGTAAATGTCAGGCACTGTGTTTAAATTCTAGTCTGATCTCTCTTGCTAATGTGTGTTTGTATTTTTCGTGACGACCGAAATGCCAGCTCACCCTCTTCAAATGGATTCCCCACGAATGTACACAAGTCAATTTTAATATTGCATTTTGAGGAATTAAATGGCAAAGAAATATTCCATAAGATACAGACTCGTAGCAAGTCATGCACAGCTCTCATTAAAAAAGAAGTGTGTGACAAACGTGTCCTTGTTGCTGTTGAGGTGATATTGTCTCAGATCCTTGCTGAGGTTTTTCTCTCCGTCTCGCCATCAGTAGCTTTTCATGGCTCCAGGGCCGTAGTGCAATATTAATGCTGCCGCAGAGGCACCGAGGCTCTGCAGCTACCTCCTCTGTTCTCCTCCATCTCTCCTTCATGCATTTACATTTCAGACTCACTACAGGAGCAACAAGAGACACATGTTCAAATGCTTTAAAACCAAAAGGACAGGTGAGAAAATGACAGAATATTTGATAGAGATGGAGAGAATTTATGGAGTATAGTTTGAGTGAATGGTCGAGGGGAGAATGCAGTGCATGATGGTTACAAAAATATTAGTTTAAAAAAAAGTAGTATTTCTGTAGATGGATAAACCAGTAGTGAACTTTTAGGGAGGTTCCAGTATTAAACACCAGTAACTCTATAAACCATGACCCCCTCTTTCTCTCTCAGGATAGCTTCCTGTTCTCCGTGTCCATCGTCAGCGGCTCGTTGTGCATCATCCTGGCTGTCATCAAGTTTATGCTCGGCAAAAAGCTCACGAGCCGGGCCCTCATCACTGATGGTGGGTACACACACACACACACACACACACACACACACACACACACACACACACACACACACACACACACACACACATTTCCTCGATGCAGGACTTACAAAGGAATTCTGATTCTGATTCTGAACAGTATCGTTAGGCACATCCCTACTAGGAAGTGTTTTCTACTCATTAAGTATTTTCCTAGTAGCAGCATCCCAGTGTAACTTCCAGTGTGACACATATTCTGTATGAAGGCACACGTACATTCTTGCCATGGAGTAACACGTAGGCTGCAAACCATCACCGAAACACGAGATGATTAATGAGATGACCTCTGAGCATCTGACTGACATTAGAGGCACGTTGCCGCTACGCGCTGTACGCTGTTAGAGGAGATGTCACGTGTTACTGGGCCGAATTCCAACACTTATCCTACAAAATGCACTCATCAGGTGACTTTAAAGGCAAGTTTATTAATATAGGGGGAGCTGGGGGTGCTAGTGACTTGTCCGACCGGCCACTTCGGTACCGGCCCACCGGGGTGACTCCCGGTATTCCCAATGGGCAGTCGGCCCCTGACCCGAACCCATCTTTGACCTTTAAACTACTTTATAACTCTCTCTCTTTCCAGGATTCAACTCCCTCGTGGGGGGGGTGATGGGGTTCTCCATCCTCATCAGTGCCGAAGTGTTCAAGCATGAGCCCCAGGTGTGGTACCTGGACGCGACAATAGGTGTCCTCATAGGACTCATCATCCTCGCATACGGAGTCAAGTGAGTTTATTCTACAGGTTATTTACACTGGAAAAAATGCAATGTAACAAAAAACTTGTTTCATTTGAGATTGTGAGTTTTTACAGTGTAATAGTGAAGTATTTTGATAAAAGACAACATTATGTACAGATTAGACTAGTTTAAATGTACATTATTGATCCCAAATTGGGATTTCTTTTATACACGAGCACCTAATCCTGTTATTGAAGCTCAAGCCGGTGGCGAGTGATATTTTTCTAACAGATGAGAACGTTTTTTATTGGGATCTCTTCCATTACTAAAAAGTCTCCTCTTGTATCTCCGCAGGCTGCTGGTCGACATGGTTCCCCGGGTCCGACAAACCAGGAACTACGAGCGCTTTGAGTGACGAAGAGGAAGAGGAGGGTTAGTAGGGGCTGAAGGACAGACTGACTGACAGACATTGAGTCCTGGAGGTGCGTTCAGGCTACAGTGTCTGTACTCCAACCGTTCTCACATCTGAGCCCAGGAGGACGCTGCGGCACATTTTAAGTGTTTTCAAATTTGGTGTACATCTAATATATTTATGTCTTTTAACAGCCGTCTGTTCTCCAACGCCTCGTGTTTCAACTAAGGGGTTCAAGAGCTCCTTAGCAGCAACACATTTTTGTACAGAGAGTAAATAATGTTCAGTACCTCAGTAAGTCAACACACAGCAGTTTATTTTCCCCATGGTTCCTAGAGGCCTTTGCTGTAAATGTGAAAACGTGTGGCAGGCGAGAGAGATGGATGTAGCTGATGTAGCACGGGGGGATTCATGGTGTCTCTTGTATGACGAGAGAGGAGGTTAAAAAGCACAGAGGCGGAGCAACATGTGACTTTATTAAGACTGGAACCGAGACAGGGGCACTGTGTCAGAAACCCAACGCCAGCGCCAGCTTACAAGTCATGGCTTACAATTCACTGAGGGAACATATCAGAAACTAGCTTCATGTTGCAACCTCTTTTGATTTATTTGTGGTGACAAAGTACATTTACATCTAGTGCCATCTACTGAGCAAAAGAGGTACCTGCCACACACAGGGAAACATGTGCATCTGCATCTAGTATAGCACATTACAGACCTGTAGTAAATATACAAACAAGCTTCTTTAATACAAGAGATAATAGAGATCTTAATTCCTGCACACTGTCAGCACTAGAGGTTCAAGTCATGATTTGAGAGTAACTGCATCAATAAACGATTAAGGACATCCTTCAAATAGGGAAAGATATGTCAAGTTGCAAAGAAAACAAGTAAAATAAGGCAAAACAAAATCTCATTTTTTGACTCTCCAACACAACCACAGCGCTACATTTTAAAAAATACTAATTTTGCAGGAAGCTATCTTTGGGTAGCATCAGATTTAGTTATGCTTTTGTAGGATTTATCTGGAGAAACTTTACAGATCACTTGATTAAATTGATTACTTTCTTTATTTAAGGACTGTCCCAGTACGTTGTTGTTGCAGTTTTCCATATCCTGTTGTTTACTCTCAATTCAATAATTAATGTTTGAAGAGTTCAGCTGTCACATCAGGTGGTTTGTGACAAACAGAGGCTTGTCTTCACATGTTTGGTTTACTAATTGGTTTATCCGCTTTCAGTAATTTGGTTTGTTTGTGCGATTAAGTTGCTCAAAATGTTAGGCAACCATCACGCAGAGTCTCAGTGCTTTCATAGATATTTGCATTTTTATGCTACATATATTTATGTATTTATTTATTGTGTCTTTAAGCTAATTATTTAGAAGGTCCTAGATGTAATTTGGAGTCTTCTTGTCTTTATTCCTGATGGACTGTGACAGAAACGTATCTATGATGAGCTGACATTGTGCAGGTCGTTACGTTTTCAAATTCATTTTAATAAATTTGACACAGCTGTGAATTACTCAATCTTTAAATTCAAGATGATACTGTGAAGGAGTCCACTTTCCAGCTACTTCACTCGCTCTGATTGGATCTTATTGATGAGAAGAAGCGCTTTAGACGTCTGTTAAACTGTGCTTTGTCACTTTTTTTTAATTTCTGTTCTATATGATAAATGATACTCCTGATAGCATGGACTCATACTGCAGCGATGGTTTCAGACAACAGTCTTTATCTGGCGTCAAGAGTAGAAACATGTCCTCTCTTATCTGGAGCTGCTGTTTGTTGGGGATTTAAAAGGGATTTTGCTGATTAAAGTAAATTGACTTGTGGAGTAATCGCAATACATTGGATTAATGTTGGAGACAACTTTGTAATAGTGTGTAAATGATTAAATCCCAGTGTGAATCTGTATTAAAGCAAACCACTTTAGAGTTTACTGAAGCACAGTGGCTAATCTACTCCAAGGCATTATTTAGTAAAGTGACCATCATGTAAAAACCCCTGACTCACTAACCATGTTTGTTCCTGTGTGAATCCAGAGCCTTAATGTTACTGCTCAGTGTTTGGTGACTGTTGAACATGAATGTAATTATCCGCTGTTTTGATTGTCATGAACGGGAGTGTGTTTCTGCAGTGGCTGTAACTGAATGTACACACTGTGCTGTGAGACTAATGTGTTCAGCCAATTACTGTGTACACTTCACGGTATAACATGTAACATTAAAATGTCTAAAATCAACTAAAACCATGGTATATATTTTTTTTACATAAATTACATTTTTATCACAAAAAACGATGGACACTTCTCCCATTGTTAAATTTGATCTAGCAAAGAGTATTTTCAAAAACGAATCATATATTTCATTTATATTGTTGGGGAATGAGTTAAAGACAATATATATAAGGAATTGTGCATGTTGAATTTAGTTCTGTATTTTTTTTAAACCCTGAAAGATGTCCCGGGTGAATTTGACCCGAACATCACCAAAGGGTGCGAAATGTGAACATAACACATAATGTTTTTATCAAAGTATTTTGCAGTGGACAGTTTTGTCCCGAATGACTAATTTGCGTAGTCCAATCGAGTGATACCGGAGGGTTAAACACCTTGTTACGTGCCGTGGTTTGTTTGTGTGTGTCTCCCTCCCCCTCCCCTTGATTGTCTACCTCCAGGTGCAGCCTCTCCCTCAGGTGCTCCCAATACCCAATCAGGGCCTCCATAAATGGACCTGAGGAAGGCTGCAGTCTCTCTCTCCTCTGGGCTGCATGTGTAATGTCTCTGTCTCTGTCTGAGGCCTGCTAGCCTAGCACTTTCTTGTATAAGAGAGTTGTTCTTAGTTTATTTATCCTACGTTTGCTTTGTAAACGGGCCCTCTTTACTTTTTGGTTAATTAAAACATCACACTCGCAACAAGCAAGAAAACGCCACGACGAGAACCCCCAGGAAAACTCCAAATCCTGGTAAGTAGCCAGCTAGCAAAAGTTAATGAAATATTGACCCTGTCTTTGTGCACATACAACTTTTTAATAGGGTGTAATGATCTAAATACTGTCACACTTGCAGCCATGCAACCACACCCGGTTACCAATCAACGCTTATTGTTTAGGTATCCCTGATAAGGATGCTAGTCTTGCCTATATGCTTATGAAACGGTTTCATCTTTATTATAATAAGGCATTGCATTTTCTCAAGAGGAGCGGCCTACCTGCCCAACTTATGTTTTGTCATATTTATGGGTGAACACTTGATGATGGCTAGAGCAAGTAAAGTTGTTTTTTTTTTCTTGTGAAGCATGTTAAATATTTTCAATATTTGTTTCACAGCACCCGACCGACTGCGCTAACGGAGAGAAGTTGAACGAAGATAACAAAACTGAGTAGGTAAATGTCATTATTTTATTAAACACTGAATCAACGGTGCCAACATATTAGTTTGCTTTATACAAGTTTAAGAAATCGGTGAATAAGCTAAGGCCAGGAAGCATTTGTTAGAAACACAAACGGTGACTATATACAAATATCTAGGATTTGATAATACAAACTGTTACTAATATTGTATCCCTAAAACATTGGGTCCTGGATATTAAGCATTTATTTCTGCATTGTCTGTTTTCCAAATGTTTGTGCAATTACGGTAGATGTTCCATTAACTATAGTTTGGAGTAGATGTTTGGCGTCAATGAGTAAATACAATTGGGTGTCATTTTTAAAGCTTTGTATGATAAAACATATTAGTCCAAAAAGTATGTAGGTAAATGGCAGTAGCATTAAACCAGCCTGTTCGCTCCATGTGATGACACTATTTATCCTCACTTTTTTTAGGTTGCAGCTTATGGGATGGCAATGGAGGGTCACTTCTCAAGCACTATCGAAGCACGGTACCTTTGGTCGTGAGTACCCCGTCTTCATTTAAACTGCCCTTGCTCCTTTAAGACATGGAGTGGCCTGCGAACACACTTGTATAGATCCCACAATTCGCAGGAAACTGACGAGTGTGAAGATGTGCAGTCTTTAACATGTCAAATGTGTGACTAATTTTATCCTAATACAAAAGACTATTTTCAACATATCAATTCCCACATGAAACCATAGAATGTGCTTTTGATGGATGTGATTTCAAGACAAACATATATGGGACTTATGCGACGCACAGAAGTAGACGACACAGATCCTAATCATGGAAAGATTTTAAGACTGATGTGATTGCAAAACATCCAGTTTTTACTGAGAATGAAATCCACTTTCCAGTGTTGGACTCGCATGGTCATGTGGACATAGATACCACCTTAGAGTTGGAGACTGGTTTATTTATTTATTTTTGGTTCATTTATAGTTGTGAGTGTCTGTGCTCCTGACTAGTTTTAGCTCTCAACAAGTTTTAAAAGGGTATCTTACCTTTTTTAAAGGATTTCACAGCTTTAACATTTACTCAATATTTTTTACAGAAGAGTAACCATGGTAACTATGGGCGGGAAGTCGTCTTCGCTGTTTTTGTGGCAGACTACAGCGCCACTTACAGGCCTGGCATTTGTACTACAGCGTCTCCAGCGCTTTCGAGCGGCAATGGCCGGCCGTGGCCCAACCCCTGATAGGTGGAGAGTTGGCCCAATAACCGTAGCGCCACCGTCCTGACGTCAGGACAGTGTTCAAATCTGGATCAGTTTTTATCAGATCCGTTGCAGCCCCTTTTTTAGAGATTTGGGTATGGAGGAAAATAGAGAGGGTTGTTTTCTGACACTTGGTGAGTTCCCTGGAACACCGGGGACACATATTCATGTAGAAAAGACGTACAAAAGTGCATTTTGCATGATAGGTCCCCTTTAAGTGTACAAATGTTTCACCAATCTGTACATTGCTGTTTTAGTCTGTGTTCTTGAAAAGTTTTAAAAGGGTATCTTACCTTTTTTTTAAAGGATTTCACAGCTTTAACATTTACTCAATATTTTTAAGTGTACAAATGTTTCACCAATAGAATTGAGTACATCATAGTTTTAGTTTTTGGAGTGCACCTTGTGGCTTCAGAAATCAGTTTCCTCTTTTTTTCTCTCTCCCGGTTATTTTTATATTTTGTGACTTCCCTTGTACCCCTAGTCCAGGAGGGAACGTAACAAATGGGTCTCGTCCGAGATCTTTGAGACAAGGAGTGAGTAATTGATTTTGTTTGTGTAGTGTTATTGTCTTTAGTGGTGAGCAGTAGTGTATATAAGTGTAGCATTGGCTGAAGTCTCTTGCTGTTAAACGGCTTCCTCAGTTTAGACAGGGGAGTGTCTAGCTGGGCTGAATCAGTCCTTCCTTCAGGCACTCGTTTATTATTTTGCCTTTTTTATTTTCGGGGTAATCCTGGGTGGGGATGTAGTCCCTGTTGGGGGCAGGCGTTTCAGGGTTTCGGCCGCTGATGTTTGCCTTCAAAGTCGCCCCGAGCCCGGCACGCTCCAGAAGACAGTTAGGGAAGTTTGTGGTAGGCAGGATCTGGGGAAGTTCGTTATTTGGAAGACTGGCGTCAACGTTTGAAGCTTTAGGGGTAGACTGTATATATAAAGGGTTATACACATTAACAAATAACTATAAAACAACAATAGGCCTACAGTAGAATAACAAAATGAATGCCGTGAATAAACCGAAATACATGTGTTGAAGCGGTTATTACTTACTACCCAAGGGCACACTTGGCGTCCACCATGGTAGTGATGCCATCAATGGGCTCTTTCATGCGCTGAAGCTGAAGGTCGGCTATCATGGCATTCCTGCTGGCCATCTCCGTTTTCCAGGTTCTCCACCTGTTTGGTCAGCGGCATGAAGGTCATGGTCCGCCTGATTTTGGCAGGTGGCTGGTCCTCTGCCTCCATCTGCTGTTTCACGTCGTTGATGGTCTGTCCCAACACCTTTCTGTTATCCAGCAAGTGCTTGAGGTGGCGCCGGGCCTCCTTGTTGTTCACCATCACGTTCACTACTTTGAGAAGCTGATTCTGATCATGAGCCTGAGCGTCCGATAGGCCCCCGATCTCCGTAGGCCCCTCGTTGAGTTTGTGCGGATGGCTTCTGGCTCCCTAGTCCCCCGCTGAGAGAGCATTACTGGTGCTCTGTGTGGAGGTGGCACTGAAGGGGGATCGCGGGGTCACAGAGCAACGCAGCGCCGTTTCACTCCCACAGCTCACACACGCACCCTTGTAGAGGACCTTCACGGCCTCCTCTGCTGCCAGCTTGCGGGCTTCCTTTTTGTTCCGCCACCTGGCTTCGGGGTAGGGCACGCCCCCCCACTTCGACCCTGCACCTGAAACTGGGCTTGTAGAGTGGGCCGTCCTGCCTGATGGGGGTGAAGTTGATCCCGACTTTGGCTAGCTGACCGAAATTTAAAGTGAATTGTTCAATACCTGATCTATAAACGGCACCCTGGATTCATTCCTAGCTAGGTTTTAATATTACAACATGACTGAAAAGAGAATGATGATACATATTATTTTTTGTGACAAACCTCGGTTGGTGACTTGGCCCGGACTGGTCGACGAGCTGCAACTCCCAGGTTTGACTGGTTTGCATCGCGTACTCATTAATGGCGCGTTTCCACTACAGCGCGCAGCCCGGTTTAAGAGGGCTGTGACGTCAGCGGCCCGTCTTTGGTTGCGTTTCCACTTGGCCTAGTACCGGCCGGCGGGTCCTAATTCACAGTTTTTCTGGCCTCATAAAATCGTCGGTCCAGGGCCAGAGACAACGAGGCTGAGTCGGGCTGAGTATGCTAAACTAGAGAGAGCGTCGCTGGCAAGGGGGCAACAACTACAACAAGATGGACATATTTGACCGTGATTTAATTGTAATACACATTTCAAAATGATGCCGAAGTAACAACATACTGATACCGGTTAGTAAAAACCATGAATTAATGCTTTGTCAAGTCTGCAGACAGACGGCAGGCGAAAAACCTTTTAAAATGCTTGTTTTCTAAATGGAGATTGGCTAAGCTAACGCAGTATATGCTCCGACCGTCCACACTCACAACAACGGCCTATACAGACATAAATAAAGCAGCGACTGTACTCACCATGACACAGGCAGTCTGTGGTTGTACTTGTTTAACTTTTGTCTAGTTTCTGAACATATATGAGGAGCTGTGAGCTCTGAGTGCTAACAGCTAACGGCTGTGTTGTTTCTCTGGGGTCCTCTGAAGATCACGTCACGGCTCCGCCTACACTGCGTTACTATAGATACTGCCCCAGTTCCTAAACTGTAATGGAAATGC